CTTCGAAGTTTAATTTATCCATCCATCAAGTTAGAGGGTGACTGCATTCAATTTCAACTTCATTCCAATTCATTTTTCACCGGTAGTTTCAACCGCTCTTATCTATGGAATTTTAGGGTAATAATGCTTGCAGCGCAAAACAGTATGTTGGATCAAAATCCTCCAAACTAAACTAAAAGATCAATAAAAATGACGGTTAGAAATGAAGCCTAATTTTTGTCGTTTTTTTTTTCATTGATGCTGAAGGGTTGGCAGTACAATGATTTGGTTGGGAGCCGATGATGAGCATGACCTTGACACCTTTGGCAAGTAGCATTGGAAGGTAACTTTTGTGCAATGTACTAGTTCTGAGGCTCGCTCTTCAAAATAGTCACTATGGACCTACGTGAATCGATCTATGTACCTCTTCCTCATGGGATCGTTGGTCTCCACATTAATCATCCCATGTGTAACAAAGTTCAGAAAACTGTCGTGAAAACGATGAAGCGATGAAAGCAATTGTTGAAGAGATTTATGGCGAGCTTTTTTATCAATTCTTTTAACATCTTTTACATAAATAAAAGTTGAATAGGGAGGGGAAGAAAGTATTCATTCAAAGAAAAGAAAACATAGTGCCCTATCATGAAAAACAAGTAAGAGCTAATTCAGACAAAATTGACATATGGTTGATGGAAATAGTCTTTCAAGACATTTCCGCCCGAAAAAAGAGCAGAAAATTGATGGTGTCTTGCACTTATTTTGATTTTAGTTTTTCACGTTCAAAAGTAGTGAAAGAATTGCGTTAGTACTTGAAGTATATTACTGTTTAAAAGTTCATGAGAAAGATTGCGAGAAATAATGGAAAAAATAAATTCCAACCAGAGAAGGAAACTAAATACACCAGGTAAATTATACAGAATTTCTGCGAAGAAAGTCCTGAGCCCTGTGTAGAATGGTGAGGAAGCATTCGTCGAAGGGCATACCTAATATATATGACTATCACCTTATTGACAAAATCAGGTTTTCCTTCGAATTTCGCTGAAGATGTTTTTCCTGTACAGTTTACGATGCAGTTAATGGCAATTGCTGATTTCGAGGAGTAAGAATGTTGAGCAGATATCGTTTTTCTTGTGAACACTTGACGAGTTAGGTTCTCGTATTCAGTTGGGGCAATATCAATGCCAGTAGATACGCATGCATGATACATTTGCCGTTGATGCTGTCGTACAGAATAGCAACTTGACATTTCTTCGCTGGTGACTGTACGCAATTACTGCTTTTCGCTGGGGGACGTGCGATTCGTGCGATTTTGGACGCGCGCGGCAAATTGCGCGGCGAAATTCGCGATGATTTCAACAATGCCGGCGCCTATCACTGGGGCACAAACTTGAAGTAGAGTACTTTAGTAGGTTCAGACAATCCTACTAACCTAGTTTACTTCGAATTTGGGCCCCAATGGTAAACCCCCTGTAGTCGTCCAAATCGCACCGAATTTCGCCGCGCAACTCGCCGCGCGCACCCAGAATCGCACGAATCGCAACACACCCCTTTTCGCTACTGCCATTATGAGTACTTGTGTCGATCTCTGGACCTTACGGGGCACATCATCATTTTTTGCCACTTTCGTTATGATAGTTTACAGTGGTGGTTATGAAGGACTGAATATCTTCGATAGAGTATGAGCATACGGCAGTATTCCTCCTAGAATACAGGAGCGAGTGCATGTGGTGAATAAAGTTCTGGATCTGAGGTAAAAGTTGATCGATTGTAAGAGTTGAAAAGTTGATTCGATTAGACACGTCCTGGAGAAGGTGTTACTACCCTTGTCGTACACTATTCACCTGTTACGAATTGAATAGCGCTTGTGAGTCTGATTTGAATGTCATTACAAGTAAAAGGGATTCCGCGGTACTTCTGCTTCTTTTTAAGCTACACGTGCGCGAGAAAATTCTGTATATGATAGATGTAGCGTATGCACAAAATGGATAGAAGTGAAGGCATAATCTGGTGCAGTGGGAACATCAATTGCACCCCAAACATTCACCACTCGGTACACAAAATGTGATTCTGGATCCGAGTTCGATATTGTACTTAAGATGTCTAGATTTCTCTGATTAGTACTTATTTCAATTGCAACTTCCTGGAATGTAACACTGGTGACGTAATTCTGTGAAAAAGTGTGGTCTTTTGTTAAATATCCTATTTTCTGCCTGCAAACGTGAGGTAGTCTGATAGCTTTTGATCCCATCTGCTTTGTTTCTAAGTTTCAAACAAAAGGGCAAACCACTTGTCCATTGTATTGAAGCGTGTTGCTAATTATGTCGCCGAATAGCTCAATCTCGTGAAAGATTTACATTTTCTTGTATTTTGAACATGGTGATGAGTTTTGGAGAGAACAAATGCGGAGTGATTCGTAATTCAAGATGGATGCTGAAGCGTTGTAGGTCTGTGACTCTTCTTTCTGTCGGCATAGCAGGATGAGCGCATTTTTGTCTTACTCGAACACGAAATTCGCCACCACAACATCCTGAGTTAGGCGTCAAAGTAATTGTAGTAAGGATATTGTCGTGGTATATCGCAGAAGCGCTTTTGCAAGAGAAATTGGTATGCGAAGCGCAACGTGCGAGATCTAAAAGAATTCGAAGCAGCGATGGGAAACTCAGCACCCTGCGATCTTATATCAAAACTTAAGCAGGATATAAAAGACCGGCAGGTGCGAACGTAGCATTTCTGAGTTTTTCGTGTCTCTTAGCTGTTCTCATTTTATCATGGCTGATTACGCAATGTATACTACTTGTTTCCCGTTTGGTGCAATGACCTTGTATATTGAACTTTTTATTTCGAGGGTGTAATTACCCAACTTTCAGGTTTAGCCCAATAAATGATCGATTGTGGTATTCTGTCGTGACAGATGGGGTCCGGAATCTTCTCCCCGAAAACGGCGTCGCGCACGCCGCACCCGCCGCGTACCGCAGGATTGTGAGTGAGCACGGTAACTGCAGTGACATTTGCCGCATCCCGCAATTGAAAATGCCGCGATCGGGGAGAACTTCCGTTGCCCGTGACAGAAGAAATCAACCCGCGTGGCGAACTGTTCCGCAACCCCTTTTTTATGGCATACCACGACGTTCATCCGTCTTGCATTGCAGATCGCTTTCTTTGTGCATATCTCTATTGGCTGTCTATGTTCTATTAACGTTTCCTGTCACCCATTGTAATGTTTCTGTTCTCAAGAAGCCTATATAAGAGTGCCTGTGTAACAATATGTGTATTTAGTAGATAAAGGACTCTGGCGATCGGCTGCGTCAGTTTTCGTGCATCGGCGAAAAACGAACCCTGGCCGCCCGCGTGGCAGGCGAACGTTCTACCTCTTAACAACCGATGCCGTATCGCGAGCAGTTCAAGCAAGCCACCTCGACCTCTGCGATCGCTGTCTACAGCCTCGAGGACTGTGAATACTCTGTACCTACTGTGGCAGAGAACATAAAAACCTGCTCTGCTCAAGCAAATTGTCACAATTCACGGCTTCGCGTTGGCACCAGCGCATTTTCCGCATTTTTACCGTCATCATCGACTACTGTTCCTGTTCGCCCCTCCTTTCGTTGATTCTTCAGCGCTCCTCTAGTTGTCATCAACCGTGTGGTCGACTAGCATTCCCAGCCACATCGCCCTGTCTAATGTGTCAGTACGACTTTCGCACGGTTTGACCGCCTGCCTTCCGCATCACCCATTCATTCGGTACTGAATTCGTGTCGTTTTTTGGAGCCGCGGTTCACAGCTCGAATTCTATCGAACATTGGGCGAGGCGAGGATTGGCGGCAGTTGATGCTGGCGTACGATTACCTTTCAATGGAATGGCCCTTGTCGACGGCAGTAGCTCAGTTCACGAATAGAGACAGTGTGTGGCAGTTCAGATAATCGTGTTTCGACATTCGTTAATTATTCATATTAACAATGGCGAGTCGGTTTTGATTATTTTCACAATAAGCTAACTACCTGGTATTACGGGAGATTCGAATGAAATCCCACTGATTGTGTGATTGTAGTTCGTTATCTTCACTATGGTTTATAAAAATTAAAATTTAAAGTTTCTGGCGTTAACCAATCCCGCCTGAGGGATGCGCCCCGCACTCGACTTCCATTCAGAATCGTAGTGGCGTCATGAGTACGTATTTGGCCTATACAAAGAATTGCGGTGGCCAGCCGATGTACAAGTCAGGGCTTTTATCCTCCCAGACGAGTCTGGTACCAATTCACCGACAGCGGGGGGATGGAAAGCTTGGTTGGCCTAGGCGGGCATCGATCCGGGATTAGAACCCCTGACCGTGCGTGTGATATAGTGCGCCACTTGCTACTACACCAGCTCCGCCTGCTATGGTTCGTCTAGTTCATTATTGCCCCTCTCCGAAGTGTCGTGGTATACCACGACGTTCATTCATTTTGCATTGCAGATCGCTTTCTTTGTGCATATTACCGCATATGTTCTATTATATTGGCGTTTCATTGTAATGTTTCTGTTCGCAAGAAGCCTATATAAGAGTGCCTGTATAACAATAGGTGAGTTTTGGGAGATAAAGGATTCTAGCGATTGGCTGCGTCAAATATGTTCGTTGGACAATTAATGGGGAACCAGCAGATCGTTCGTTCATTTCTTTCATTCTTTATGCTCGCTAATGCGGACCATTTTTCGAGCATTGGATCAGCATAATATTTTTCGGCCACTGACTTGTATTTTGGCATCTAGTTTGACTATAGGGCTTTCGCATCGCTGTAGGTGAATAAGCTGAATTTTAAGAAAACGCTAGAAGTGCTTTTTGTCGGAGCGTTGCTCTCCGATTTCTTTTTCCTTAAATGCACGGATCTTGTGCATTAATGTCATCTTGCTGATTTCTCTTTTTGGTGGACGATTCCACGATTTGTTCGAATGATCGAATTGATTGATCGAATGAACTGCTTTGATTGATAGATCTTGTAGAGGTAGTTCTGCCGTAGACTATATGTCGTGAAAGAGAAGAAAACGATTATAAAAAATTTGTCACGAGCCTTTTTGTCAGTTCTTGATACGCCCTTCATATCAGCGAAACATCAATGAAAACAGGAAAGGTAAAAAAATATTTTGTGTTACCAAAACATAGTGAGCTGTTATGAGAAATGAGTAGAAGCTGATGAAGGTGAAATTGTGATAAGGCTGATGCCTTCCAAAAGAATCCTCTAATAGAACCTTTCATCAATCCATGTCCTAATCGTGCAATCCCCACTCTGAACTCTATTAAAAAGTTTCAGTAAGAAGTAGCGTGCCCATCATTGCACACACATAATTAATAGGTTCCGGAGAAAACCGGTAAACTATGTACTACCTCGTATCCTCAAATAATAATTAACTTACGCTCGTCCTCGCACTTTATCGTCTTCCACAACTTCCCTTGACATTGTTGATTCCTTTGATGGAAGCCGTGATGGGCCACGTCTAGCTAGAGAAAGAAAGGCCCTATCAACCTGTTGTTCGATTTATCGTCATTGGAGTTCCTTCTCTGGAGCTACTCATGACTATCGGCAAAGCTTTCGATAGCGAACGCTAAAGTACGTAAAAGAAATTCTCTGTTACGGTGCAAAGCCATTTACTATGTTCGTTTCATACTAGATGCCTTCGTACCTGATTTAGCATTGGCCTTCAGAAGACGTTGCAGTAAATCTTCAGCTTCTTCCACTGTCATGAAGTGATCTCCCAAGAGAATTCTAGATAAGTATGACTGATTCTCTATCTTTGCATTTTCCTGTACTTGACCTATCTTGACCTCTTCGGGTTGCCTCACACGCACTTGGGAAAATTATTGCACTTATTAGTTTTATTCGCTCTGAAACGATTCAGATCTCAACCAGCAATCTGAATCCATTCTCAGAGAGAAAGATACTCAATGATCTCCATAATTTAGGCAACTGTGTTCTGAAATGGCACTGTCTTCCACCAAATTGCGGAACTGGGAAATTCAATGATCACCATTTCAGTGGCTGCTACATGGAGCGATTCTGGATATACACAGTAACCACTTAATATAGACACAGAGAGAGTTTTATGAAAAAAGACAGCAACTCTGGTAGCTTCATCTCTACTGAATGCAAGACACAAAGAAATGCCCTATGAGAGAAAATGTTGCCCCCATTTGTTGGACGGTATCGCGCAATAATAGACACCGTGCTGCCTCTACACCCTCTCCAAAGGAACCTTGAGAATAGGCAAAGGATCTGATCGCTCCGAACACACCTCGCTAGTTGGCATGCTCCAAAAGGTGACTTTCAATGGTATGAATAATTAGGAATCAAAAGGTCACAGTCTGAATAATCAGTGCCAAAAAAACGACGATCAAGTAATGCCGGCCCACATTTTCCAGCATGCATTGGGGTTCAAGCTTGTTAGAAAGGCGGCGGTGTTTCTTAAATTTTGAAGCTGTCTAGAAAAGGAGTAGATCATGTAGGCGTTAGATTCCGACGTTTTATTTTATAAATTTGTTTATGGAAACAAGTGAAGTCTTGCGTAATTTGTATACAATTTATATGACTAAGATTATTCAGACAGATTATTCTAGGATTATTCTGACTATGATTATTCTTGGAAAACTTCCCTGGGTTCTCATAATCTCGAAAAGGTTGCCGAGTCGCCGAATCTGACAACGGCTTATCGCCTTAAAAATCCCGAATTGAATTATTTGCTCTGTCTCGGCTTTTCTCAGCGCTCATTTTCTGCGAGCATCTCCTTTTCCACAGTCACTAGTTTCAGAAAAACAAATTGCCAGGTCAATGTACGAGTGAATCTGAGAANGTTTAGCAATTATTCCATTCCTCAGCTACCCGCAAAACTTTCGATAAAGATCGCTAAAGTACGTAGAAGAAATTTTCTGTTACGGTGCGAAGCCATTTATTATGTTCGTTTCATACTAGAAGCCTTCGTACCTGATTTAGCATTGGCCTTCAGAAGACGNCCAGCATGCATTGGGGTTCAAGCTTGTTAGAAAGGCGGCGGTGTTTCTTAAATTTTGAAGCTGTCTAGAAAAGGAGTAGATCATGTAGGCGTTAGATTCCGACGTTTTATTTTATAAATTTGTTTATGGAAACAAGTGAAGTCTTGCGTAATTTGTATACAATTTATATGACTAAGATTATTCAGACAGATTATTCTAGGATTATTCTGACTATGATTATTCTTGGAAAACTTCCCTGGGTTCTCATAATCTCGAAAAGGTTGCCGAGTCGCCGAATCTGACAACGGCTTATCGCCTTAAAAATCCCGAATTGAATTATTTGCTCTGTCTCGGCTTTTCTCAGCGCTCATTTTCTGCGAGCATCTCCTTTTCCACAGTCACTAGTTTCAGAAAAACAAATTGCCAGGTCAATGTACGAGTGAATCTGAGAATTTGTGCTTATGAAGAATTGTAAATGCTATACGTAATTTGTACACAATTTCTGAGGACTTTGGCTTTGCTACGAAGAATATTATACGGAAACGTTCTTATAAAAACATACTTTCTTTTTGGAATTCCTGAATTCTTCGCATCCAGTGGTGAATTGGCTCTCGAAGTTCGGCAACTTTCAATGCGATGAAAATTGGGTCTGGGTCCTGAGTAAGCACTAATTATTTCAAGAACATTTTTTCATCCCTGCTCACCATTGCTTTCAACTCCCTACCGTCTCAGCATCTGCTCTCTCTCTATGTTTTCCATGGCGAAAAGGAAATATCAAGAAAAATTCTCATTCGTGAGAAGCAATTATTTCGCGCGACCTGTCAAATAAGTCGCGAGGGGCCATCAATTGGCTCTATCGCTCTATTCAGTGATTAATGAAAATACTCGTGGGGAAATATTTGCACGTCGATGAACCCGAAAGCGCCTATTGAGTAGTACTATTATCCGTTCGGGAAAGAAGCCTTTCGAACGTCCGACCTAAACACAAGAAGAGGGGAGCTCTGCGTGAGCCCTTCTCACCTTCCACGCAGGCAAACTGAGGTTGCATAGGCTTGTGCACAGCTACCGCAACCGATTTATCTTTATCCCCCTCCCCTCCCGAGACTTCTTCAATTAGGATGTGAACCTGAGGATTGCACTCCAAATTGAACGTTTAACCGATAGCAACACTGCCCCCAAAAGTCTCACGCTAGTCAACTAAAGAAGAACTTACTGGGGACTCGTGATCTTCTGAAGCTTTGATCGACCATTTCTCTACTTAAATCTTTCCCACTTTGATACCTGAATTGAATTCAAAATGTATGAAATGGTTTAATGAACAACCCATGACCAAAATAATGTAATCCTTCCATAAACAAGGCAAGCTACTCCTCTCTAGATATTTGTCTAATTCGTGCATTTGTCTTTCAATGACACGCTATTTTTGCAATAATAGCGTCTAGAACCTTTCTTATTCATGAAGCAGCAACTTGATGTGTCGTTTTGTCTATCTGACCGTCCGTCAAACTTTATGACCACGATAAAGGTAGTGGATATGGAGGACCAAGCTCTATCCATAGGCCCGGCGTAAGCCGGGCGACCCGACTGTCGTATTAGTTCTCTATCCATCCATATACAAAATCAAGATCGCCACAGTTTAAGAAATCGTATAACCTATCAACGCTACAACAGCAAAGCCGTCACGTAACGTTATGGTGAAAACTACCCTCCTACACTGATTCTTGACTCAGAATACAGTGTTTTCTCAAAATCCTCGTGATTCTCCGGTCACTGAAAGTGGGGTGCGCTTTGCCGCGCGCGTTCGTGAAACTAGGTCGCGTCGCACCGTCGCACGCGGCGCGTCAGCCTGCAATTTTTGACAGACGTCGCAGTTGTCAATGGGGCATACGATTTGAGTCTTGGTCCATGGAATTAAAAAGCAGTCAGCTTGAACAGAATATAGCATCAACTAGTGCAAATCATTCGCTCCATTGACACTTAGTGGTCTCTAATGTCATCTCAAATCGCAGCGGGCTGCGCCGCGCGCGAAGTGCGCGGGGTGACCTAGTTTCAACGGGCGCGCGGAAAGGACGTTCCAACCGAGGCGCCCACGAGATATCGTAGGCCCTTCTCCCGCGCTATGACTGCGATGAGTGCAGGTTCAGGCTCTATTGCCTTCGCTACTCTCGTAAGTTGTTTTAAGTTTCGGAGAATCAGTGAAATTGACACGCGCAGAATATAATTTTGTGGAGGGAATTTTTCAGAGTCAAAGTCATTTTCCAGAAGCGGATCTGAATGATGTGAGAGATCCTTGCCATTAGATTGGTGTATCAATTACTCAATGTGCCGGAGAAGGTTAGTGGAAAAGCACAGCACATTTAGGAAAAAACCAAAAAAAGTGCGACGCTATAAAAAGATAATGATGTTGTGAGTTTCAACCGCCATTTTCATCTCATTCTTCCCTGCAGTTTTCATGCCACACATCACTTTTATGTATGCGGAAGGCAGGTTGACGGACAGACCGGTAAGCTGTGCAATTAATACGAAGGGGTCTTTGAAATGCTTTGGTCCAACTCGAGAATGGAGAAGTCAAAAACGACTGTGTAACAGCGTACCGCTTCTTTGCTGACTTCTTCGCATCCGGTGGTGATTCCTTTGTCGAATTGGGGCAACTTCCAGAGGGCTTACCTAGGTACGTACTCGTGTTATTCCATTGGACTTCCTTCAATGTCGTTTGAATTAGTAGACAACCCAATACATGCAATTACTTCAGTTGATCCTCAGAAAGACAAAACGTGCATGCAATTCAAAAGTCACTGAACGATGGAAATTGTCTCTGAGGTACTCTACTAGGGCGAATCGCTGGCTTCCAAGCATGTGGATCCAACAAATGTGCTCCATTTCCAATGGTGCAGCCTGTGCACGACCGCTGAATCACGGCCCTTAAGGGTTGCAAACCGGCTTAAATGGGGCTCCATCAGTTTCGCAACTAATTCAGGCTACGTCAAAGTCTACACCCAAATTCGGCCGTGATTCAACGGTTGTACACAGGCTGCACCATTCAAAATGGAGCACATATGTTGGTACGAAGGTTGTTGTTACGAATGTTGTTGTTACGAATTGATTGGTACGAAGAGTGCGTGGTGAAAAGCAATTTTCGGAAAGAAAGGCAGTATACCCTATTTTTGACTGGTTGAAACTCTTGGCAAATTTTGAAATTTTGCGCAAGCACCCCTTTCCTCGCTATAATTTTGTACAATCCCACAATTGGATTAGTCAAAACACCTTTTTGTTTATTCATTTTGCATATCTTTGCTTTTTTGGCACAACTATGCACTATATCTTACCAAGATCCGTTATTTACTTAAAAAGAGTATTCAAAACTATCACGAACTGTGCCTCAGAACACGCAATAAAACGTTCGATATATCAAATCAAATTTTGTTAGGAATAGAAGATGGCTATACTACTATACATAATTCGCTGAGTGCGTCTGTTTGTCTATCGATATATTTGTTTTTTTGTGAGCGGGTGTCTCGTAATGTGTGTGAGATTCTAACTTTTGACCCGTAGACTAATGCATGCAAAATGGAAATACGAGCAAGCGGCAGGATACGAGCACTGATGTTAGGTGATAAGAAATATTCTTAATCAAAAAGAACAATGAGGAGTTCAATGAGACGCCCTTTGTGTTAATCGTACGAAAGCGGAATCCCGGCACTTGATAGATGATGTGGGGTGTATAGAAGTGACGGTTGATGACTGAACACAGACGGTTGATGACGA